AAAAAAAATTGAACAGTCGGTTTTTTTCCGGACTTCCTGAACTTTCAATTTCAATCATTTCTATTTTAAACAAGCTTAAGCTAATGGATAAGCCAGGTAGACCTTCTTGCAGAAAAAAACTTCTTCTTAGTTGATATAGAACTTCTTGCCAAGCTTCTGCTTTCCAAGAAAATTTTCGAAACGGCGCGAACTCATCTGACAACCCAATATGCTCATCTATGACCTTACCCATTTGTTTAGTCGTCCGCCGTCCAGATGTCCGCTTTTGTCTCACTGGATGGAGTTGGATCGGGTGGAACCTATAAGGCAAAAGTTTTATCCCGAACTTATCCTTTGAAAACACGGACCTCTTCGGCTGCTTTGACGCGATTTCTGGCCTCTTTCTGCATAGCATCCAGTTTTTGGGTAGTGACTGTTTTCAATGGAAGCAGCTTCGGCTTACAAAAGATCGGTGTCAGCGCTTCCTCCTTGAAAAGCATCGCATCTGCGGCGCTTAACGATTCCCGTAGGCTCGACATCAATAGGAATGAAAGCCAGTGCAAATGAGTCAGTCTAAATCATACAAGCTAAAACATCTTTATTGCATAAAACATAGCGATCCTAACGCAGTAAACTCAAATGCATTAAGCATTCAATCTAAAACTGTTGAAAGAACCAAAAAAAGCGTATGCCCACGGAATTTGGCTGCGCTTATGAGTGCTGGTTGCCAATAGCAACGCACTAGTTGACATGATTGGCTCAAACAGCAGAACTGACATTAAACAGCTTTTGATTCATATATTTATGCCTTTTCTTTTAGTTCTGCGACGATAAGCAGAAACAGTAATAAACAAAAAAAATCCCTTTTTTTGAATGATGCAAACTGGCACGCTCACTCAAATATAAAAAGTAGTATTAAGACACTGTTGTGAATCATCATTGCTTTAATTTTTCAAATGTTTGCTGTTTAATGCTATAAATCTATTGTTCCACTCTTCCTGTTTTGAAGTGCAAATCAAGTCCAGTGGATTTTGATTATAAATACTTATAACTGAAAATTACGCCTAAAAAACTTTTTTGAAAAAACACTACTTTGTCATTTCCCCGGGGCTTTTTTCTTAAGCAACCCAGGGAAAAAATCTTCTTCTTATGGCGAAATGAGAAACGGTGAAAAGGAAGTGGAAGTGGAAGTGCCGACTACTTGCATACGTTTTCTGACATCCGACAATCCCCACCCCTTCTCATCTTCTGATTTTGTTTTTATGAAATTTAAGGGCAGCTTGTATTGATCCCTTTGGATCTCTACAAGATAAAAACTACATCAAAAAGGCATGGATTTTGGAAAAAAAATAAAAAATATTAATATAATTGCAACGTTGCTTCTCGAAAAAGTGCCAGTTAACAAGCGTTTGTTACTGCGGCAAAAACATATTTGAAAGAAAGGCACTCTTATTAGTTTGAAAAAGTTAAAACTGGTCATAATACATAAAAGAGTCAGTAAAAGAACAAACAACGTTTCATGCTCTTAAAGCGCACAATATAGTTCCACATATTAGAACAATAATGTTGGCAGTAGTGTGTCAAAAGTTTAAAACGTTCAAAAATGTTTACTACTAGGAAAACTCAATGACTAAAATTGAAACAGTGATAAGTGATATGAAAACGGAAGTGGTCCGCCAAATGAGCTTTAATT